ATCTTGTCAGCCTATACCCCTGTCCAGAACACCTCAGAAACCCACTGAAGAGTTCCTTGGAAACAATGTAACCAGAAGGCACCAAGATTTAAACACAGCGTTTAGACACTTCAAGCTGGGCATGTTAGGATACAACTGTAATCCCAGCACTCAGGAGGTAGAGGCACAAAGATCATGAATTCAGAAACAGCCTGGACAATACTAGGCCCTATCTCAAACAAACAAACAAACAAAAAACCCAAAAAACTTTTTCAGTGGATTCACTAACTGGCTCCATACTGACTCACTCTGAAACTCTCACTTTCGGTGGGGAGGGACATGGTCTCCTGTGTCCCAAATTGGCCTTGAACTCACTAGTTTAGGATGACCTTAATTCCTGACCCTCCAGCCTCCACACCTGAGTGCTGGGATTATAGGCACGCAACGCTACATCTGGTTTATAACAGTGTGTGACACCAGACGTGGTTTTTGCAGTGTCAGAGATTAAACCCATGTTAATTTGATGCTTGCCCTGTTGGGTTTTGGTCTCCCTTTGTTTGATCTTTACTTGCTATCTTCCTGTCCCCACCTTTCTGAATGTAAATGTTTACTCCAGGCCACTATATGATGGAAGGATGTAACCTGTTTTTCATTTTAAGGAGCTCATAGGTAAGAGTGCCTTGATTCTCAGAAGATACTTTGGAAAGTTGGATGTGGTATTTTATACCTTTAACCCCAGAAATTGGGAAGCAGAAGCAGGTGGCTTTATATGAGTTGGGAGGCCAGCTTGGTCTACATAGCAAGTTCCAGGCTAGCCAGGAAAAAAAAATAACTTTGGATTTTTGAACAATACTATTAAGCCAAGAGTGGTGGTGCCCACCTGTGATCACAGCAGATGGGAGATAGAGGCAGAAGGATCAGGGGTTCAGGGCCATTCTAGGCTACATAGTAAATTTTAGACTAGCCTGGGCTAAATGAGACTGTCTCCCAAGTGCCAGGATTATAGGTATGTACTACCTTATCAGGGTGTGATGATTAATTTTGGTTGTCAATCTGATTGGATTAAGAAACACCTACGGCATTAGTGATGCACACCGTTGGGTGTGTCTGTATCTGGTATTTCTAGAGATGATTAACAGAGGGAGGGGGCAAGAACTGTCCTGAATGTGGTTGGCACCATTTCATGGGTTTGGGTACCAGACTGAGTAAGAAAATTAGAGTCAGCCAAGTACCAGCATTTACCTCCCCCTCTCCTGATCTGCCAGGTATGAACAAATCACCTTAGGCTCCTGCCACCACAGCTTTCCTGGCCAACATGGACTGTCCTAAGCTATGAGCCTAGGCAAACACTTCTTAGTTGCTTTCTGTTAGGTCTTTCATCACAGCAACAAGAAAAATGATTCCCCAGCCTTCCCATTCCCCCCGCCCTTTTTTTTTTTTTTTTTTTTTTTTTTTTTGGTCTTTTTGAGACAGGGTCTCCCTGTAGCCCCAGCTGTCCCGGAACTCACTATATAGACCAGGCTGGCCTTGAACTCACAGAGATCCGCCTGCCTCTGCCTCCTGAGTGCTGGGATTAAAGGCGTGCGCCACCACGCCTGGCTCTTTTTTGTTTTTTTAAAATTCAAGACAGGGTCTTGCTAAGTTACTGGCTGGCCTCCAACTTACTGTGTAGCCTAGGAAGTCCCTGAACTTGCCATCCTCCTGCCTCAGTCTCCTGCCTGAGTAGCTGGAATTACATGCATGTGCTTCTACACTCAGCTTGAGAGTCTTTTCCATTGTGCGTGCATGCGTGTGTGTGTGTGCGCATGCTATGTAGGAGCATGTGCCATGATGCACATGTGGAGGTCAGAGAACAACGTTATACAATTATTCTCTCCTTCCACCTTTATGTGGGTTCCAGGGATTGAACTCAGGTTGTGAGGCTTGTGTGACAAGCACCTTTGTGTACTGAGCCATCTTGCCAGCTCCAATATTTTTCACGCTATTATATCACAATGTATTCTGAGTTTGCATTAGTAAATTTTTCTGCCAGGAAATGCTGGGGATACAACCCAAAGCCTCATGCATGGTAGGCAAGGGCTCTATTATTTCTGCTTCTACTATTTCTGCAGCCCTGCATTAATCGATTTCTTGGGGCTGAAGAGATGGTTCGGCATTTGAGATTGCTACTTTTGCAAAGGGCCTGCGTTCAATTCCTAGCACCCACGTTGGGTCGCTCACAACTGCTTGTAATTTCAGCTCCAAGGCACCTGACTCCCTCTTCTGCTTCCAAGAGCACCTGTGTACACATGCGTGTACCCCCTGCTTACATATTAAATAACAAATCTTTAAAAAATAGATTTCTTGGGTAGGGAATGTAGTTTAGTTAGTATGGAGCTTGCCTAATACAAGACCCTGTGTCCAGTACCCTGTACTTCACAGAACAAGCCAAAGACTCTTAATTTATATGCAGGTAATATAGAAAAGTGAAGTCATGCTCAAAATAAGTCATCATAAAAAAAAGGAAAATAAGTCATTATAGGTCAGTGAGATGGCTCAGTGGGTAATGAAGCTTGTCATTAAGCCTGATGACCTGCATTTCATCCCTAGGACCCACATGGTGGGAGGGGAGAACAGACTTACCTAAGTTGTCCTCTGGCCTCCACATGTGTGCCATGGTATGAGTGTGCCTAGCCCCCCCCCAATAAACAATAAAAATTTTCTTGGTTGAGACAGGGTCTCCCTGTAGCCCCAGCTGGCCTGGAACTGGCTAATGTAGACCAGGCTGGCCTTGATCTCACACAGATCTTTGTGTTTTTGCCTCCCAAGTGCTGAGATCAAAGACATATGCCACTATGCCCAGCAATTAAAAAAAAAATTAAGTCACACAAAAAAACCAACCTTTTTTTGAGATAGGATTAAGTAGGGCTAGCCTGTAACTCAGAGATTTACCTGCCTCTGCCTCCTGAGTACTGGGATTAAAGGCATGTGCCAGCATGCCCAGGGATTTTTGTTTTTTTTTTTGTTTGTTTTTTTTTTTTCCTTTTTAGTCAGGATCTCACTATGTAGCTCAAGCTGGCCTGGAACTTTCCGTGTAGACCAGGCTGGCCTTGAAATCACAGAGATCTGACTGCCTCTGCTTCCCAAGTGCTGGATTTACTGGCATGGGCCACCACACCTGGCTAGATTTCTTTCCTTTTTTTGTTTTTTGAGATGGGGTCTCCCTGTAGTCCCAAATGGCCTGGAACTCAAAATGTAGGTGAGGCTGGCCTCTATCTCACAGAGATAAGTCTGCATCTGCCTGTAGAATGCTAGGATTAAAGGTGTGCTCCATGACACTTGGCTCAGAAATTTTTCAAAAATAAAGCTCAGTTCTGACCTAGAACCCACCACAGGCTGGCTTTGAATTCCTGGAGAACCTCCAGTGTTAGCCTCCCAAATATTTGGATTACAGGTGTGAGCCACCAGGCTCAGCTGTCTTAATGCTAGGAACTCTGTAGAAAACCTGATTTGGCTGGTCATAGTGGCACATACATTTAATCCCAGCACTGGGGAGGCAGAAGCTGGCAGATCTCTGAGATTCTGGCCAGCCTGGTCTACATATTGAGTTCCAGGCCAGATGGGGCTTCAGGGAGATTGTCTCAAAAGGACCCCCCCCCAAAAAAATCAAAACCACCAACCTATGATGTGGGCAAGGGAGATGGCTTAGTGGGGTAAAAAAGTGCTTACCACACAGTACCTGATGTCCTGAGTTTAATCCCAGGATCCCAAGCAGTGGAAGGAGAGAAGCAACTCCCAAAAGTTATCCTCTGACCTCCACTCTAGACACAACCCCCACCCAATAATAATAAATGGAATTAAAGTTTTAGAAATAAGATTTATTTATTGAGACAGGGTCTCACATAACCCAAGCTGGCCTTGAACTCTCTATGTAACCAAGGATGGCCTGGAACCCCTGATCCTCCTGCTGAGATTACAAAAATACTATAAACTTTATTCAAAATAACCTATAAAGTCTTTGTTTCAAGATAGGGGGTGAGGGTGGGGAGTGGAGAACCTTCATTAGGCGCCTTCAGACGACCCAGCCAAGAGACACTAGACAGCGATGACAGGATTATGTGTTTTTCAGATAAACATGAAGAGTACGCTTCTGGACAGTTACTATGCTGGCTTCCAAGGGACCTTAAAACCCTGTCTCATGAGCTGGGCATGGTGGTGGTGCATGTCTTTAATCCCATCACTGGGGAGGCCAGCCTGGGCTACATAGCGAGTTCCAGGCCAGCTGCCTCAAAAAGACCAAAAAAAAAGAAATCACAAAAAACCCTGTCTCGTCCCACCACTAACTGCGAGTAAATGATGGCTTGTCCTGACTGACAGCTGTTAAGAGAAATCCGGATTTCAGCGTCTCTGCTGCTTGACAGGCTTTCTAGATGCAGGGCCATCCTTCACCCTCCCCCGCGAATGCGGCGCGGATGACAGGCTCGCGCCATGACACCCGGCTTCGAGAGCAGTATCTGCGGCCGAAGCCCTGCGGACGTCCACGTCATCCCTCCCCGGGCTGGGCCTGCGGAGGCCGCGGGGCTCAGGGCTCAGGCCTCAGTCACCTGCGCAGCAGAACCGGTGGAGCCAGTGTGCCCCGCCCCGAGCGCCTCCCTAGCGGGCTGCGCGGGAGGGCTGTGCCGGGGGCCTGGCCCCGTCCGCCTGCCTGACCCTCGCGCCGCTCCGGCCCGGCCCACTGCGGCCTGCACGGCGCCCCGGGCTCTAATCGAGCACAGGCCGCCACGCACGTCAGCCCCGCGGGCGACACCTCAGGCCCGCAGCGCCCCCGCCCCACTTCCCCCGGGCAGCCCGCGGGAGGGGCGCGGCCTGGTCACGTGACACGCCACCGCCCAGGCCGCGGTCACGTGGGCCGCACGGCCACTGCGTCAATCCCGGGGCTGGCTGCGAGAGCCAAGTGGTCGCCGCCGCTGTCGTCGCCACCGCCCCCAGCGGACGGGGCGGGGCTCTCGGTGCCAGGGCTGCGTCAGCCCGCCCCCGCCTCAGTCAGCCGTTCCAGGGCTTGGCCCGGCCGTCATGGAGCGGGGCGGGACCTCGGCGTCGGCCGTGTGAGGTGCGGCAGCGTCCGCTCTTCCAGGCCTCCCGACCGCAGCCCCTCGCCGCCGGGGCCGCCGAATGCGCGTCCGCTGACGGTGCAGGCCCGGCGCCGCCGCAGTTACAGCCGGGAGATGATTCGGGCCTAGCGGAGCCGGGACTGGAGGTGAGGAGAGCCGCCCGCCCGCCCTGGCGCCTGACAGACGGGTTGACGGGCTGATGGGCGGACGCGACCTCGGGGGAGGCGAGGCCCGGACGGGGGAGCCCGTGGGGCCCCTAGGGCGGAGACCCGGGGGCCGCGGACCGCTCGACTCCGCGCCGCCCGCGTCCCTGCCCGGCTGGGATGCTGTTCCGAGGCTAGCCCCCAGCTGGCACGCAGTCCCCGAAGCCTGTCCTGCCGCCGCTTCTCTTCCTCAGTCCTTTCCTTCATGGCTGCTCGCGCACCCTCGGGCCGATCGCCCCCCCCAGAAGTCCTGTGCCCGTGCTGGTGGAGGGGAAAATGGGGCCCGGTCCGGGCAGCACCCCTCCAGCTCTCGCCTGCCTTCTCGCGATCCTGCGCACCTCCCCCAGTCCCCATCACCCCTCCTTGGGAAAAAAAAAAAAAAAGGAAATTTCCGCCCCGGACGGCCAGGGGCGGGGGCGTTGACGGAGGGGCCCCCGGGTGGGACGCTCGCCGGCCCCTGTCCACCTTGTGGGTCGGCCTGTTACCTGGGGACCCCGAATCCTCGGGCTCGGATGTGGATGTTTAGGCCTCGCCTCCAACTGCCTGCGCTCAGGGTTAATCTCGTACTTGACGTCAGTGCTTTGTTCCTTCCACTTTGGTGTTCTTCCACTGGGCGGGGGGGCGGAAGATGGGGATGAAGAGTTTGGGGTGGGGGGGTCACTAAGCCGCACCTTGATCGGGAACTGGGAGAAGAAATCGGAAATGCTTGTGGAGTTCTAAACTAAGACGGGAGAGTTTGGAGGGTTCTCCCGAGTTTTGTCGGTTGCAAGTCGGCATTCTGTCTTTTCTTCCTCCGCTGAGATTTGAAACTGAAGCTGGCTCCCTTTCCAGACCTGGTGTTTTCCTTTGCGGAATCTGCCGGTGAATGGGCTGTTTGTGTGACATTGAAGATGGGTGCTTTTTTGCGGGGGGGAGGGGGACGCTCAGATTGTGAAAAGCTTAAAGCTTTGTTTCCGTATTCGACGAAGCTTTTGCCTGACTGTCCTTTTCACTTATCAAAATTGAAATTTTTATAAGAACGTTCTTAATTTGGGATGAGATGAAAAGCTTTGTGGACCAGGTCTGCCCAGAATCATCATCCTCGGTCATGTATGCATAAAGAGGTGTTGGCAAGTGGCCTCTCCGTGCTCCACAAAGCTGGCTTCCTCAACTCTCGGGTTTATCCTCCCGATTCATTCCTGCGTTTCTCAGTCTCCTAACAAACAAACAAAAACCCTCAAAGGTTATTTTTTAAATTGTCTTTCATAATAAACCTAGAAGCAGTCTCTCTCTCTCTTTTTTTTTTTAACATTAGCAGTTGTCATGCAGGCTGTGGTCACTTGCAGGCTGATTTTTGTTAGCTCTGTAGAAACACTAGGCACATTTCAACTTTAAGATTTTGCTTCAAGTGGGGACATGGTAGGGTGACTGAGTTTCCAGACCTTCACTGTTTGCTTGGGGGGGAAAGAGCTTAGCTGTGTTGATTGGAACGTGCTCTACAATTTTGGGGTGTAAAGGTGACTGCAGTGTCTTAGTGAAGGTGTGAAATGAAGAACTCCAAAAAATAGAATGTCTTCGTTTCAGTGAGCTTTCTACCTGTCAGATGCTCACATTCAGACACACAGGTTCTCTTTGCTGAAGTTACCGTACCTTAGTTGGAACAGTTACTTTACTTAAAGGCCTGTTGTAGTGTCTCTAGAGGAAGTACCTACCGTATTGACTCCTCGTCTACCCTCCCCAGTATTTTATGCAGTTGCTAGACTGAATTTGAATGTTACCGTATTTTGAAGTTGAAATTGTTTTATCAAGTTATCCAATCTAGGATTTCATAAATAATCCTAAGTTATATGAGCAAAGTGATCAGTATTTGAAAGGGGAAAAATTGGTATCAGCTTCAGTGATAATAGAAGTTGAAGCTTCCTAAAAGTTGCGTCTTACTTTTTGAGGGCTCAGGCAAAAGTCATAGTTTTCTCTGTGCCTGAGGGGAACAAAGAAAACAGGTATTGCTTCTTTGGGCCATCTATTGGCTTAGCATGGGGTCCAGAATGTGTGGACCCTTCCCTTCGGAGTGCCTTTCATAGAAGCAAAGTATTTCATAAAATCTTACATATTGAAGGCACAGCCTGAATTCACAAGTGCAGTGCCAACTATGAAAGTTGGTGCTTATGCCAGGCATGGTGGCGCATGCCTTTAGTCCCACCACTTGGGAGGCAGAGGCAGGCGGATCTCTGTGAGTTCAAGGCCAGCCTGGTCTACATAGTTCCAGGACAGCTGGGGCTACAGGGAGACCCTGTCTCAAAAAGAACAACAAAAAAATTGATGCTTAGATTTATTATTTATTTACTTATTTATTTATTGAGACAGTCTCATGCATCCAAGCATCAAACTTGAGTGATCTTCTCCCCTGACCTCAGATTGCGGGGGATTACAAGTATGCTCTATCATGCTTAGCTCAGGTTTTACCTATTTATTTATTTGCTTTATCTCTGTTCTATAAACATCCTACATAAAAACTTTGCTCTATAATATAAAGGTTTCCCAGCTTTCCCCAATCGTTCTATTTTCACCATTTCCTTTTTCATTTCCTCTGATAAGATGGAGCAATTCTATTTGATTTCTGGGAGGGTGTTTGGCAGTCTGTTAATGTGAAATAGAATGTAGCTAGTGCCTAAAGACTGTGTAGCTGTGTAGCTAACTAACTGGGTACCTTGGTGCTGTTCCCTCTGGTTTAAGACAAGTGCCCTCCTCACTTGTTAACTCTCTGTTCCCATCTTGGTTATTTAAAGTGCTACTCCATCCACTCTTGGAGTAGCAATAATAAATGCTCCAGTTAGTAACTTTTTCCTGATCATCTGCATCACATCTTGTGATGGATTACTTAATTGAGACAGGATCTTGTTATGTAGATCTGGCCTTAAACTTTCAGCAATCCTCCTGTGTTAGCCTCTTGAATTCTTGGGTTGTAGACATGCACTAGCATACCTGGCTGCTTTTTGAGCATTTTAGAGGTACTGATATAAAGTGGTAGAGCCAACTAAATTTATCACTAATATCTGTAATAGTCTAAAGTGTTTTAATACTGACACTGCCTTTTTTTTTCTGAGACAGAGTTTTAATGTAGCTCAGGCTGTCCTCAAATTGGATGTGTAGCTGGGGCTGACTTTGAATTCATGCTTCTGCCAAATGCTGGGATGTAGATGCAGCATTAAGTTTTGTAGGTTTTTAAAAAAATGTACATGTAGATATCCTTCTGCCTTTTTACCATTGTTCCTATATAGTTGTTTTAGCGAAGAAACCAGATTTTTTTGCACTTTGAAATTTGTCTGGATTGTGCTAATTGTATGTAGTGTGTTATTCTGTCCCCTGTGTTTACTATAAATAGTAGTTATATCTAGAAGCAAGATTTGGTTCAAACTTGAATTTTTTTTCTTTTATTTTTGTGGGTTTTTTGAGACAGGGTCTCCTGCCACCCAGGCTTGCCTTGAACTCACTCTGTAGCTGAGGATATCCTTGAACTCCTAATCTTCCTGCCTCTAAGTTCTGGGAATTCCTGGTGTAATATTGCTTTGCCCCACTGCATTGTTTGTTTTAAATGGACAGACTAGGCAGGGGCGCTTTTCACTCGTTCTTGAGCTTCAGCCTGATTCTCAGTCACCACCAAGGCCACCTGTAATCTCCATGTTGCCAAATTGTATGGTTAGTGCTTAGTCCTTTACTTCTTTCTATACTTGATGTTACTACTTCCTTGACACTGCTTTCTTCCTTGACTTTAAAAAATTATTTATTTTTATTTTATGTTTATGAGTGTTTTGCCTGCATGTATGTAAGTGCACATGTATGCACAATGCCCACAGAGGCCAGAAGAGGGCATTGGATTTCCCTCTGAAACTGGAGTTGTGGGAACTAAACCTGGGTCCTCTGTAAGAACAGCCAGTGCTTTTTACCACTGAGCCTTCTCTCCAGCCAGCCCCTCCTGACTTCTGTGGCTGCCCCTGCCTTGTCTCTCTCCTGGATAGTATTGTTCTTTGCAGACTTACTTCTTTGACTATCCCTTTGATTTTAGTAGCCCTGGATTTTAACCTTGTTCTTCTGTGTTTATTCCTCTGAGTTGATCATAGCCTTTTAAATTTCTTTAGCTACTGCTAGCTTTCCAATGCTGGGACAAAACATCCGAGTCTTTAAAGGCTTAAAGGGGGAATGCTTATGGTTCAGGGTTTCAGAAGTTTCAGTGCATTTTACTTGTCTCTTGTTGCTTTGGTACAGGAGTGCATCGTAGTGAAAGGTCATGATGGAAGAAACTAGTTACCTTGTGGCAGCCATGAAGATGAGGAAGGAAGAGAGGGAAGAGGGGAAAAGAGAGGAAGGAAGGGCAGTAGACCCACAGATTGGCTGGAGCCTCAATATCTCCTTTAAGGCTACACCCCTATTGACCTGATTTACTTTCACTAGGCCCTGCCTTCTAAATCTTCTGCCACATGCAGCAACACAGACTGGGCATCAAGCCTTTAATACAAGAGCCTTTGGGATACAGTCTAGATTCAAAATAGAACATCTGTCATCTTTAAGTTAGTTATTTGTGAGCACTAGAATTCTTTCATCTAACTGAGTACTCCCTCCAGATTTTCCAGTAGGCTCTTTTAGTTAGGAGACTGAGACACACCTAGCTAAAGAAAAAGGAGGAATTTATTGGAAGCATTTTGAGTGTCCCAAGAATTGTAAGAAGAACATTGAGCCACAGGAGGATGAGAGAAGTCGACTGGCTCTCTAGGGCTTAACTGTTCCCTTTCATCTGAACTGTATTCAGTTTTCTGTGGTTGTAGACCAAATTCAACACTCGCTAAATCTTCTGAATTTAAAATCTGAGGTCTTCTGTCATCACAGAGAGAATGGCCCAGAGTCCCAGCCTCAAATCCCAGGAAGGGACGCATTAGGTTGTATGTCCACCTTCAGACCATCTACTTTAG